TGGATGTCTGATATACCTCTGGATTACTGAGGTAATCCCTTTTACTGTAGCGTATTTGTAGTTTTTTTTTCTGTTAAGGTTCGTATCTTTTCGGAATACCGAAGATATCGCTTGTTACCGTTATTTTAGGATACCCGGTATTTCTCTATGTGTAGTTTACTGAAACAAAAGCGAAATTCAGCCAACCAACGCATTAGTCGAACAGACATTCATTCATTGTTTATACGTGTGTCACCGCAAAGCGTTGTGTGAGAAAAACACGTCACCAGTGTTGCCAGATTGAGGGTTTTTCCCCCCAAATTTGGGTATTTTACTATGCCTGGAGGCTTTTTTGGGGGAATTTTTGAGGGTAAATTGTATCTTGGGAGTATTTTTTGAGGGATAACAGAGAGTGTTTGGACGCAAAATAAGGACAAGCAGTATTATAGTCGGCGTTATATTGACATCTACGCATGCGCAGTTTGATCCGAAAATAAGGATTGCTTGTCGTTATTAGTGAACTAATATAACAGTGCAATGTTTACGTTAGTATGCTGTGTAAACAGTGACATATTAATCGTTTATTTATGCGGTAAACAATTTTAATGGATCCGCATTCTTGACCCTGAAAGAGTTTATTTACATGAATGATTTCCTTTTAATGCCCAGCTTAAAAAGGTAAAATATAACAAATATGATTTGTTTTTGATCAACCACATAACATCTTTCACTATCTTTATTAATACCAAAATGTATTTTAAGTGGATACCACTGTTCTAATATTGAGGATGATGAAGTTGCAGAAATATTTTCAGAAACAGTAATATAATAATAATAATATATTATATAAATATATAATAATATAATACATTTCAAATGATTTGGGGGATTTTATTTGAAAATTGTAATTTTTGGTGGAATTCTAACTTTGGTTGGGGGAATTGTAAAAATCGATCTGGCAACTCTGCACGTTACTCACCTAACGCCCGCCAACAGGACAAATCTGATGGCTGAACGTTGCGGAGAACAATGCAAAAGGTTTCAGTGTGAAAAATTATTAAATCCATCATTTTGTTTTCGTAAAAAATACTAATACCCAGAGTATATTTTACAGTAAAATCGCTAGAAGTTGTACATGCTTTTACAAAATACTCGTACCTTGAACCAAATAGTATTTTTGTTCACAAAGCAAGCATTGACGTCGTCATTGACATAATTATATTATACAGAATGAGTCTGTGCCACGATGAAAGCCTTAGGCCACCCAAACAACACCTGTTTCTTCCTAATTTTGCAAGTGTAAGCCTCTTTGGGTGGCCTATCTTCCAGGCGTTGGTCCAGTCGAGTACATGCGTCCAAGTAACAAAGAACACTTGTCGCTCGCGGAGCTTCTGTCACGAATTTCGCGATTGTCGATTCGCACAAGTACAAAAAAGGTTGCGCCTACATCCTTGAAGATTTTCACCCCTCGAAAATTTGGAAGGCGTCAAAACAAGCTGGGACATAAAGTGTGGATTTGAAGGTGGCGGACGACTCGAATTGGACCGAAAAGGGTTCAAACTCAAGAAGGGTTTCTAACTCACCCCAGAAGAGACCTGCTTACAACCCTTCAGCGCAGCAAATTTTGCAAAGTGGTTGTGGTGGAATTTTACTTTGTCACTCAACCGGCGTCCGCATTAGGTCCAGTCAACTTCCAGAGCCTTCAAGCGCATCCAAGGACATGAATTTTGAGACCAAATGACACCTCACGCCATCAACAAAGATGGAACTAGAAGAGTGGGTCAGAAATTGGTGTAGGGGTCGCCTGAAGGGATGCTTGAGTTATCAAGGTGAAAGCGTGAATTGTAGAACTCCAGACCAACAGAGGTAGAGCATGCAAAACCCAGAGTAACTGCAGAGGTGGCTCACTGGGGTTGGAAAAGGGTTGAAGGGATGGGGCAGTGACAAAACGCCCAGGACAGGGAGGTCTTATTATGTGCGAGGATAGGATTTTTACAGCGGGCCGGCCTTCTCAGCCTGTCCTGTAGGTCTTGGGGGTTGAGAAGCCCAAAAGGAGAACAGAGACGCAGCATCTTTCAGAAAATTCGACGTTGCTATCGTCCAATTGATGGACCATGGACCAACCAAATTACGTGCCATGGAGGAGCCTTTTTTATTCGTTTGGTTGAATGTTTAGTTGAATTAAGACTGTATAATAAGAGTTAAGAATCACATTGTTGCTAAAATGAAAACAATCTAAAATTGAAAAAAATCACTTCTACTTTTTAAAACTTTGAGAATTAATAACGTGTTTTAGGTAACCAGGAATTTTTAAAATGTCCCTTTCCTTTTAACCCTTACCTCTCAGTGCACAGTTGTTAGAGAAAAACAAATTGACTTTTTTTCGTTTTTAATCTGCTCTGTATATCGGACTACATACGTCTGTCGAACGTGACAAATCTGACGGGTGAACATTATTATTCTGCGTGGGTACGTGGATTTGCCGTTGCGAGTGGCGAAGCTTGGGATCGATAACTCAGAGCACGTCGGAATAATATATTTAGCTGCGAACAAATCTGGCCCGACAGCAACAAGTGTTTTGACACCGCAAAATGTTGTCTGCGTGCGTGCGAACGCGAACGGGAAATGCCCACTCGGTAATCACCCCGTTTACATCGTTAACTGGAGGTTCATCTTCCCCAAAGCTCTGATAAATTCGTGGCCGTGCCTTACCACGAAATAAACCTAATCGACTTGACGCAACCATTATTTTTTTAATGAATAAAAAGCCATTCTTTATTTCCATCCACGTAGTAAACTATAAGTGTAACAATTAACAAAAGATTGTAACATCTACTGAATAATCCAAAAATTATATATTAATGCTTAATAGATCTTTGGTTTAGCGACAAATATTCTGTCTATCCATCTGTCTGTTTGTTAACTTTGTAGGTGGACACGACGATAACTCGAGAAAGATTTAAGGTTTCAACTGGAAATATGAAACATTTACGTTGCATGTCGAGATTTTTAAAATTAAATTTTGAGCTTAATCAATTAAAGAGTTTGGGAATAAATGGGGTAAGATCGTAACATCTCCGTATATCCGTTGATTAATGATTGATTAGTGATTAGACCAGCACACACAAAAAGTGTCATTTACAGTAGATCATACGCATTGTGTTTCTGCTGACTGCTGAATCAGCAGTCGGATTAAACTCGTCATACCAAGGTTCGTCACAAACTCATCAGCCTATTACCATTTATGAGGTGGAATTGATGATCATGGTTTAATCCCATAATCCCATACCCTGATATTCAATAATCCAGTAGCCCAGGAGTCTGTGTGTATGAAACTATAAACCACGTACCTCGGGGTTCGTGATCAGACGACCTCAAGCCAAATAACCCCTTACCCTTGAACAGTGGCGGTGCGTGATATATCAGTTAGCCATATCTTGAAACGACATGGGACCCACTTCACTTTTTAGGTGATGACTATACACCTCTTACAGAAAGGATTCATAGTGAAAAAACCGTCAGCAAAGTTTGCGAAAAAATTTCAAAAACACTGGAGCACTCCTTGGGTTCTCAGTAACGCTCTGTTGAATATTTGCAGTATATTTTTTTTTTTCATAATCTAGAAACAAATATAAGGAGACGTTTTTCGATTTGTTACAAAATATTTTTGTTTCAAAAAGTTATGGCAATTTTAATTTTGGGAAACAAAATGTTCCTATGAAATTAAAATTAAAATGGCCAAACGTTTTTGAAAAAAAAAAAAATTTGCAACAAATCGAAAAACGTCTCCATATTATTTGTTTCTAGATTATGAAAAAAAATATACTGCAAATATCCCACAGAGCGTTACTAAGAAATTTTTGCAATTTTTCGCAAACTTGCGTACGATCTTTCACGTTGAATCCTTTAAGAATGTATAAGCATCACCTAAAAAGTGAAGTGAAATTAAGTTATCCTCAAGACTATGGCAAACAAGCATCGCACCACTATAAAACCTAATAACCCAGTATCTAATAGCTGCATATTACATATTACGTATTGCGTATTACGTATTAAAACTTATTATTTAAAAATTAAATTATATAAAATTAGAAACGGCGTATTTCGGAGTTTTTTTTTTAGCATACAATCTCAATAACCCCATAGCCTGAAGATACGTGAGCAAACGTTTTCAAATCCAATAAACCTTAATTTCATTTCTTCATACCTAATAACTCCATAACCCTAGAATTGGGATTATTACGAAAAAATTCCAAGTCCGCTAAATCTATAACCACGTATCTATAATATGCATCGAATTCATTTGAATTTACGACAGACTTCATTACTCCATAATCCTGGTATTAGCATTTAAGCACCGCTGTAATTTGACTAATAACCAGAAAAAGACATGCCACCCTATAGAGTATATGTTATGAAATGATTAGCCAACCAAGGAAAAGGGAAGGAAGTAAGATCTAACTGAAGGATAGAATAAGACAGAGTACATGACACACCTATCAGACACGCCCCACTCAGTGGACGAGTCAGTGCCCAATTTTGTGCCCTCTCTCATCTCATTTTCTGAACATCTCTCTTCATTTCGGGAGTAAAATAAATTTTACATATGGTATGATGATTGCGTACTCCATGCATAAGTACAAGTAAAGTAGTATGCGATACTTAATGCCTTTGGTTTAGCCATGTATTAATCACAAAAGGTAAGTTTGTTTAAAATGTGTCCTCTAAACTTATTTTCAGTTAGGTAATTATTTTGTACATTTTAAGAGCTGCAGTATATCCTTAAATATATTTTTTTATGATTAAAAATGTTTTTTTTGTATACAAAATCTTTTGCAGAAAATATATTTTATGCGCCTCATCTTAATTCATCTGTATCATATAAATCAGTATATGTATAAGATTACAAAGTAAATGTATGTTCTGATTTATGAAAATGGGACATTAACAGACGAATATTTAAAAATACACAAGAATCATGTACCCTCCAAGTTTTAATTTTTTCCTCCTCTCGTTCATCAGGCAGCGTGGCCGAGCGGTCTAAGGCGCTGGTTTAGGCACCAGTCGGAAGGGCGTGGGTTCGAATCCACCGCTGTCATTTTTTCATTAATCATAATTGAGTTCCATTATCGATATAAGTGTAGATGCATTTTACACAGACGTATAAGCTTCAATTGTATTTTGTCAGCTGAAAGACAAGTCCCTACTATTTTGAACTTGCTGAGCCAGCAGGTTCTTGAGATAACCTATCCTAAAGTGCGAAACAGAGAATTTTTGACAATTTCTATTTAAGTTTTTCGCTTATCGTGTACAGAAAAACGGTTTACATCACAGAAGCATATGGCCCATTCCGCGGTAATTGATACCAAGGAGCAAAAAAATAATTTTCGAATATATATGCTAAAATAGAAAATTAACAGGTATTATATTCTCAATTTCTATAATTCAAAAGAAATTCATCAATATTTTCGCCGATTTTCGTAATATTTTTCTTCAAACTCAGATGGTTCCAATTAGGTAGTGTGTAGTATGAAAAAAACATAAAGTGGCAACACTGTTTTTTGACGTAAATCACATTGACAGACCGCCATTTTTCGTTTACTCTGGCTGATCAATTGTTGTTATTTGTCGTGAAAAAATTTGAATTAATCAGGTAAGTACAACTCATTTTATTGATAAAATTGTAACCGCAGGAAAAACAATAAAAAAATTACAGAACAGAAAATATCTAAAATCTTATAATACTAGTTTTAATAGTCTATATTAATAAATAAAGCCTCAAAGTGTACTAAGCTTTGTTTTATTTGCACTCGTAACACCCGTCACAAATCTAGTAACACCCATCACAAGTTTTGCTTGCAAAAAAAATGTAAAAAACAATATATCCACAAATCTCTTGCAATTATCGAAATGAAGATCGTTTTATCTCTCTACTTAGCTATTCGTTTTGTTGCAAAACTTCTAATTTAGCTGAACTCTGATGTTTAGCCAACAAGGTAGCATATTTTTGCAAAAGTACAAGTAACACCCGTCACAGGGCTTAAACCTTATTGCATTTAAACGCCTGAGTAATTCCTAATACGTTTTGTTTTAATTAAAATATCATTAGAATGAAGTGAATTATACTCAAAACGCAGACGATGTTGTTCTAATTTAGAAATTATAACACTTAGAATGCGTACAAATGTAACACCCGTCACCGCGGAATGGCCCATATGTAAAAATCTCAAGATTTCAGAAAGTTTCAGGCCTATTTACGAAACATTTGTTTCTGTCTTCTACTCCACGGCGTGGAGGTGGAAATTAGATGAAATATACGAAATAAATATTGTAAAGTGCAACGTTACGTTTGAGGAATATTTCATTTTTATTTAGTTTTCGAAATTTTTTTATCCATTAAAATATAGGTCGGGGATGAATTCGAATTTGCATAGAACGTCGAAGGCTTTCCGCTTGCTTGCGAAAACACGATCATGATCCATTAACGAGATTCGGAGTGACTCTTTATTAAAGAACCTGTTGGCAGGGCTGACAGCTCATCCTCTCCCATCTCTTCACCCCTCCACACGCGTCTTTAATATCTATTAGAGAGACCATCCGAAAATCGCTATCGACTTCAGTGGCGGCTGTTGAAATTTGAAACTGTTCAGAGGAAATGTTCAAAAAGCATGACTTTAAGTACATAAGAACATTTTCGAAATTTTCGTTTCAAATATTCTGTGGCTGTAAACACACACTTATACACTTTTCCAATAACTTTCAACAACTGTCAGTTATTTGTTTTGCGGCTTTTTGTATGAAAACTGTGTGAGAATATGAAAAATAAACAAATTAACAATTTCAGGTAAAAAAAAGCTTTGAATATTACTGCCTTCTTTCAACAATAGCTGAGGCACAGCGTAGCAAAGAGGAGCAACGCAGACCGATCTTATTCGTTGGTGAGTACGTTTTACTTCTCCTTTTCTTTAATGGTAGTGTCCATGGCTTGCGCATTGTTTCCGTATTGGTATATTTGTACCACCTACTTGGATTTGCTACTTTGGATTTTATTTACGCCAGTAGTAGTCCAGAGTAACAAAGCCAGGAGTAGTAAAACGTACTGACCAAGGAATGACATCGGTCAGTGCTTAATATATTCAATTTTTACAAGTAAATTTTTTATTATATTCACACATTATTAAACGAGAAACAGAAAAAAAAAAAACAATTTACACCGAGTGTCATACATAGGGAAATTACCTCGAAATTGGTGACTCTCTGTGGTTGAATAGCAATATACGTATATTTTTTTAACAGGTAAAAGCTACTCATTTTATTACAATTTTGAAATCTGAATTAGATGCGTCAACTTTTGAGGACAGTTGAAAATTGCATATAGTACATTTTTTATAAAGGGTGAATAGTCAAAGTTGGATGATGATGATAATAGCCGAAATCTTAAATGAAGAGTAACAATAAGTTTTCGTTCCAATTGTTGAAAAATTCTCGTTATGATTGAAGGAAACCAAAATTTCGCCTTCTTGCAATCGGTTGCTTTTATTAATGTTAATAAATCCAAAAAACACTGTTACTTTAAAAAATAGGTAGTGCAAAAGGCAAATTTCGGTATCATTTCGATTACCATTGTTTCTATGATTATAAGTTGGTCTCTGTCCCATTGCTAAAATTATTATTGGTCATACAAATTTCCTGGGCTGTTAATGTTTGGTAAACAGAATAAGTTAGGTATTCATAGATTAGACCTCTATAATTCACCCACATTCATCCCATTGCTAAAGCTATTATTGGTCATACAAATTTCCTGGGCTGTTAATGTTTGGTAAACAGAATAAGTTAGGTATTCATAGATTAGACCTCTATAATTCACCCACATTCATCCCATTGCTAAAATTATTATTGGTCATACAAATTTCCTGGGCTGGTAATGTTTGGTAAACAGTATAAGTTAGGTATTCGTAGATTAGACGTCTATAATTCACCTATTTTATTGAATTTAGAGATAAGGTTGTTGCATTAAGATTCTTTTTACATTTTTTACTGTTGCTGTCGTTTTTTGGTACTGTGTACCTTTCTGGCAATTTCTTCAAAGTAGTCAATTCTGCGGTCTTTTGGGACAACATGTCTTATATAGCTTATTATGTTTTTATTGTATTTTGCTTAAACTTAAAATCACCCTTAAAATATAATTAAAATATCCCATGCTCAGTCGCAAAGATACCAAATTTCTAATGCAAGCAGCCGCCACTGATCTACTTCAATTTCTCCATTAAATTTTCGTGACGTAACCCCTTTATAGCGTCGTGATCCGATCCGAATTGTTGGAATACGGAATTAAGCAGCGAGGATAATCACTGTCGCTTTCTCTTTACACCGCTCGCCACCCCCCTAAGACCTTCACCCTCTCCCTCTCTGGGTTATTATACTTTATTCTAGTCGATCCAGCAGGTAATCACCAACCCTCGTCAAGGGCGATTTTGCAGGAAAACAGACAGCAGGGAGTACAGTACAATCAGAGGAGCGTGGTTCAACGCATCGTCAGAAAATTACAGGAAAGTTAGGTTAGATGACGAACCATATAATAAAGTAGTAAGAAATGTGTGGAATAAATTTGACAACTCACAAAATACACATTTTTTTAGAAAATCCTCCGACATAGTAGTTTTGCATTTTCTAATATGACAACAGACAAAGATTACAGTAATTTCGATCCAGATATGATATAACAATATTCTTCCGGATACAGAGAGTATAATTTTACAGGTACGGTGATATTACACAGATCCCTTGTATGAGAAATATCTAATGACTGTTTTACACACACCATTTTTCACACAATAAATTGTACAAGTTGACCTTCAGTTTATTGGAATGCGTGTAAAACAGAAATTGCGTTAATTTATTGTCCACAATAAATTGAAGAATTTAGAACTAAGCTCTAATTTCTTGGCCAATTTTAGGGATATTTAGTAACTTTTACATTTATTTCATTGTACCAACCTAATAATGAGATAAACAGTTTCTCTTAGGGACAAACTTATGGTAACTCTTAGGTTTAATCATTGAGAGTTGGCAGTGTTGAAATTGGCCAATATATTGTTACAAAAAATATTGCAAAGTGTAAACGGTTACTATAATTCTTAGGAGTATTTCCATACAAAAGCTATTCAAGTCAGAATACAAGTCATACTACATCAGAAAGTTGAAAAGCTTCAAGGTGAAATCAACAAAACAACAAAAAAAAAGTCATCAAATCTGGCTATGAAGGTAGAGATTAGGAAATAACGGTCACCTCGAAACTTTTCGATTGTCAACTTTTGACAAATGACTGTCACAATTGTGATATAAACAATGGCTATCATATAAGGTGACAGTTTTGACAATTAAATTTAAGATAGAACAGAAATACGTCTTTTTTTACTCGGCCAACTTTGATGACTTTTTTTTATGGCCCAACACATTTTAAGAAATGTATCAAATAACGTGTGCGTCCAGGTTTTAAATAGGGCACACTGTATATGTGGTAATTATTATGACATGACAGAGATGTTGCAAAATAGAATATAACCTCTGTCATAGTGTCATAGAATTTGAGAGGTTCAGAATGTTACGGCTTTACAATTCCAGATTAGTGATCATTGTGATTTTACAGAAACTTGCTATTTTAATTATTAGATGATATCCACTTTTTTCTCAATTCTACTGGCCAAAATACGCAATTTTTAATAATACCAAATTAAAATAAAAAAATACCTTTGAGACATATTTTGTTCCTCTGAAGCTTTACTAGAGTGGTGTTTGCTTCGTCATCTGCGGTAACGTTAAGATGAATTTCCACATCTATTTCAACATTTCTCTCCCCAGTGCACATCAACCTGATACTGAAAAAAAAAACGAAAACTATTTAATTTTCACATTACTGTCATCTACATTATTATGGTAGCTAGCAATCTCAATTGTTGATGCAAAAGTATGTTTCTTGGAGAATATCGAGATCCCTAACACACAAGACTTTCAACAAACATACTTGTCATCATACTCATCATCGAGAGAATTATTCCTTATTTCCAAACACAAACTGCCTAACTACTTGGTAATAAT